GAAACAATAATTGATCGAGAGATAAATCAAAGATTGGTTGGAAAACTCCTCTATCTTGTCCAAAGTTAGCCATATATTACATACTTAGTAAGTGTGATAAGACAATTCATGCACGATCTAAGAGAGCCACATCTACAAGTGTATATATTGTGCTTCTTTATATAAAAGGTAATCCTAATAATGAAATTTTATTCAAAAGGAATAATGAACTTGCACTAGAAGTCTACACAAATACAAATGATGCAAGATCACTATAGAATAAAAGATTAACACGAGTTATCGCACACTTCTTGGAAGAAACATGGTAATGGGAGTAACAAAAAGAATATGGTGTCTAGATCAAACGTTGAGTCAGAATTAGAGCTATAGCCCAAGTAGTTTGTGAATTATGGACAGAAATCATTCTTAATGAACTAAGAACCTGGAAAACCTATGAAGTTTTATTATGAAAACAAGTCATTGATAAACATAATTCATAACCTATGCTTTATGACCATCCAAAGCATATTGGGATTGACATACACTTCATTAAGAAAAAGCTAGCATAAGGCTTAATCAGCATATCCTGAATGCCCTCAAGATGTCAACTAGTATATATTTTTTTACTTTAAAAAAACAAATGGAGCAGTGTTTCATGAAATCATCTCCAAATTAAAAATGATAGATATTTATTCTCTAGCTTAGGACGGAGCATTGGAGCCTACGGATTCCCACCAAAGTAGGGAACTAGGATCCCATAGATTCATGATAGAAAAAATCAAGATCCCACAGACGCATACCAAAAAAGAAAATCACAATCCCATAGATTCATGAAAAAGAAAGAAATTAAGATATTACATATTCCTATCAAGGAAGAAAATCCAGAACTTGTTTGGGCGTAAAAGCATATTAGGAAGATCTGAATTTAAAGTATGTATAGTTGCAAATACTTTCATTTTTTAAAGTAAAATAGTTACCTTATTTTCTTCCTAGATCAGAGTATATATTCCCTTGTATCAAATACATTGTGGGACAAGAAGAAATCCTTCTCTCTTGTGTTCTCCACACCTTCTACCATGATCCTTCCTCGTCAAAGCCTCCTAGCTTCCTTGATAACACTAGACATCCTAAATCCCAAAAGGATTGTTCAATGCACGCAAGGAGTGATCATCAAAGCTAAGGTCCTCTGAAGGAATACCTCCTAACAAACTTCTAGGATAGTGGAACTCTTAGAGAAAAAAAGAAGGCATAAATGAACCAAATCCACATAATGAGAGGAAATGATAATAGCCTATATCAAAAAAAGGGTTGGCCATAATATACAAGGCTAGGGGTGTAAACAAGCTAAGCTAGAACAAGTTGTTTAATTGCTCGTGTTCGACACATTTAAAATTTGACATGTTCATGTTCGACTCGTGTTTGAAAGTATCCATGAAAATGTTCGTGTTCAGCAAGGTTTAGGGATAAACCAAGCGAAAGTTGGTAGGTCGATGATATGTAGAATCCAAAGAGAGTGATTAGGTTAAGACTTGGACAAAGAATGACTCCTAGCAAGCTTCATGGATAAAATGGGGATAGGATGAACCCAATTCCATATGGGAATGGAAAGAAATAATATTGGGTGATATAAGTAAAACAATTAGACCATAATATACATGACATATTTTGGTTAAACGATAACTTTCTCTGTATAACTCCACAATTAAGCATGCCTATAATTGAGCACTCTTCGGATGGGTGACCCCTCGTACACCATGAAAAAAAAAACAATGAGGTTAAACCTAGTATGAGATGGGTTAGGCCAAAGTGAATAATACATTGCATAATATGGTCTAGGGCATCATAGTGCATTGGCTTTTCTTCTCCCTTAGGCTTGAGAAAGAAAGAGTCCTAATGAAAGAGAGATCAACAAAGAATTCAGTGCTTTTGGGAAGTGATCATAATCAAAATTCATAAGGGTAGGAAGAGCCTTGTAGCCAGGTAGGGGAAGAGTGTGAGGTTATTTGGCAATGAATTAGTTTTATTTCTATGAGAGAGAGCTGTAGAAGACCACTAGTATATTCTCATAGGTACAAATAAAATAATAATAATAATAAATACATAATAAATACAAAACCTAAATTTGAGGAAACTATTTTGAACCATACCAATCATGCTTCATGTGGCGACCACCCTTGAATGGTTAGAATATTTTGGGAAAAGTAAATTAATAGGCTCCTTCATAATCTTCTTTTAAGTTTGAATAATTTGACTAGTCTTCTTACTCCTTCCCTTCATTTTTCTCCCTTTAATTTTGAATGTAAAACAAACTTCAATTATTTCACCTCTTGATGTTGACAACCACTTGTTGATGACTTTAAATATTAGAATATTCTGGTTCCCATAGAATGTTTAGGGTTTTTTGGAAGGTTTCCGAAGCTTGTTTTGAATGTTACAGAAATTTCTCCAAAATTTTGAATTGCATTTTGGAGGGCTATATTTTATGCAAAAGCCTCCTGGAAAATATAAGATGAAAGCTTCTATTTATTTTCTGGAAAAAGAATATAAGATGAAAGCTTATATTGATTTTCTATAAAGGAAATGAAGTAAGCTTTGGATTAGTGGAAGTCTATCATGAGTCAGTTTCGTCATAAGATTCTTACATATGGGAAAAGAACCAGAAAAATCCAGCCCAAGGCGTTGAGGTTTGACTGAATTGTATGCAAATGCATTGTAATAATAAGCCAAAATATCCCAAATGGATCCAAAATGAATCCACCGCGATATAACCAAATATTTTAGCTACCTGATAAAGAAGGGTTAAAAAAATAACCCACTGATATTTGTAAGTTTCCATGTAGAAAGGATGCTTACCATGCTGAGCAGCTAGACCCCAGTAGCGAGCTAACCAGCATCTCTTGAGCACCACCTCTTCCTAAAGAATAAGAGTTAATTTTAGCACAACTAAGGAGACCATACTAGTGATTTATTAAAAGCAAACCCAAAACTTGAAGAGTAAAAACTGCAGAACCATCTCTTCTTCAGTCAATATCATTCTTTGCGTCATGGTTCGAAAAGCCTTTGCCTCAGATTCAGTTTCTCTGAGTTTTTCAACAGCAGTAGCAGCCTCATCTTTGACAGACTATTTAATGTAAAAAGAATTAACCACAAGGATGGCCAGCAGATAACCGCATAGCTGAATTAGTAATAAGTTGCTAGTATTTTCAAACCAAAATGATAATTAATTTACTAAGAAGTACCATAGCCATTTGTCGAAGAGCTTCTGCTTCCCCATCTCTCCCATCTTTCATTTGATTGGCAGCTTTAAGATAAGCCTAAGTCATAATATATTCCATTTCATAAATGTCAAAGAGAAAGATGACAACACATTGCATGCTTTAAGGAACTCAAGATGCTATACTTATGAGCAGATCAAGGAAAACATAAGTGTAATAAAGCAAGGCATCATTTCAATGGCTTCGCATAGAGGACTCGCTGCTTGAAATGAAAAATCAGTAGAAATGGTAAAAGGAAAAGGCAACATGCAACTTGAAAGTTTGCATATATGGAATGAACAGCAACAATGCAACTTCTACTTACAATGCATTTGCATACATTTCAGTCAATAAATGAGTAAACTCCCCAAAAAAGCTTAGAACATTGCAAGCTTTACCGTTAAATTAATGGAAAATTCTTGGAAAAGCACTCTGATGGGGACATTGGAGTTTCGAAATTCTATCAGAGACGTGGCCGTCAATCTACAACGACGATTGAGTCGATGTATTTCTAAGTCGTTTTATGTATTTGTCTTTTATTATTTTATGTTATGTTATGTTGTATTTGTTTTGTTATCTTTTCCGCTTTTACCCCTTACTTAAGGGAGGTCATGTGTAAGCCCAAAGGACGTTGTCGTCTTTTATTTCTTGAGTCCTTTGTATGAGACTATATATAACCCTTATGTTCTCTTTTGATGCTTAATGATAAAAAATTGTCATTGCTTGAGTTCTTTGTGAGATCTTGAGAGTACTTGGAGAGAGAGATCCCTAGGAGAGGGAATTTGAATCACACACCAACCTTGGAGACGGTCGGATTCGTGGTTCTTCTTCTTTATCTATTTTTAGCCATATTGACCATAGTAAATTGATGTGTAGCTTATTAGTGATTTGCTGATAATAAATTTTGTGTGTCATCATCTAATGATTTGCAAAATGTTTCTAAAGGTATTTTGATTATGTAGCAAAACCATATAAATGAAAACCATGATTATTGAATTAGCTTAGAGCTGTTGCTTCCTGGCGAAGAACTTAACATGTTCAACTCAAGAAGATTGAGATGCAAGATCATGGCTCCAATGTTTGGTAATTGAGTAAGAGAAAACAGAATACTTATTAATATAAATTGATTGAGTATAGTTTATCAAAGACTCAATGATAATGAATAAAACAATGCGCTAAATTTTGAAATGGTCATCCGACTATTCATATATGATCAATTTAATCCCAGAATATCATGTTGCGCCAATTTAGTCATTGGGGCCATTTTGGATTAATTTTATATAGTTGAGAGATTAAATTGGTCACACACGAATAGTTTGGAGACTGTTTTGAAAATTTTCAGATAAAAAATAAAATAAAACTGATTTAAGATATATTTTTTCAAAATGGATTTTAGATATTGCAATTTTTTTGAATTTATTTGGCTAGATTTTCCATTTATTTGACCTATTCACAATTTATTTATATGTGAAAATTAATTCTTATTTTATCTTTTGGGACTAGTTGCATAAATTGCACGTACTCAAAATCTTGATCAATTAGGGGTTTAGCAAATTTATTTGATCAAAACATCCTATGCTATCAATTAAATTTGTTAAATTTGCTTTTACATGATAATTATATAAAGGAAATTTGATGTTATGTACCCTAATGACTGAAATTAAATAAATATGTCCAATGTTTCATTTTTTCGGGAAATATATTGAAATTTTCATTTTTGGACCAAATTACCCCTTGTATTAACGAACTCTCCTTTGTATTCGTGAAATGCTTATTAAAGCTAGTACCGAGAAAAAATGATTCAAATTAGTTCAAATTTAAAAACCTTAATTCTAATTCGAAGGTGATTCGAACAAGTTTGAACAAAATTATCTAATCTTGGTCAACAAAGCTCGTTGGATCAAAAATTGTGGCCATGATGGCAGTTCATTGGGGCACACAGACAAGAACGGATGGGGACCGCCGAAGTTGGGGGCTCTCAAATGGAATTAGAAAAGCCAGGGCTTGCAAATTAGAATGATTTCACGATGGGAGGGTTTGTCGACGTGTTCAATGGCCTGTGATGGGAAGATTGCATCATGAGCTAGGAATGTAATGATAGGATTGATGGGGTGAGGAGAAGGGGAGGCATGACAAGATCTTAAGACTGCGATGTAAAATGGACCCAATGAAAAGCGATGTAAAAAGCTCGTTGGACCAAACTAAAGAGATGTTCGATCCAAGTTTGAACATTTTTACAACCATGCTCAAAACTTATTTGAACTAGCTCATACAAAGTTTGAATACTGTTCGAACAAGGTTCAATTGAATATATATCAAACATTGTTTAAACTGATTCGAAAAAAGTTTGAATTCAAACTAGTTTTAGCTAAATTTACTTGCAGCGGCCTTCAATAAATATTTCTCATATGCAAAAGCAGGGTAATTTGGTCTGAATCAAACTTTTGGGCAAATTTTTCCCAATAAATGAAACAACAAGCATATTTCTCAAAATTTGGAAATTTCTTAGTCATATAAAGTCAAAGTTCCCTTATATAATTATTCACTTAATTAAAGAATATCAGCTTAATGATAATGTGATCAACCTTCTTAATTTACGTTGTACTTACTTAAAGTAAATTTGATATATTCCTAGTTTCAATAATTTCAGTAAATTTGATAAATTAGGATAATTATGTATTAAAGATTATTAATTATTAATTAAGTAATAGTTAACAATTTGGACTTAATTTTTATTATGTTAGATTCATTGAGTAGTTTATTTAAAATTTAATATAACATTATATGTTGATTTATATTTGATTGTTATGATAAATATTAAATTTTTAATATTTACATTCCTTATAATTACCCTAATTGCATTATTCCGATGGGACTTGATCGGAGGCTTGGATGTTGCCTAACTGGCATAATAAAAGACAGTTTGACTAGCCATTGGTGAATCCGAATTTTGAGAAAGTTCTTGTGTGTTTTCTTTTACGAACTCTCTAGTTTATATATTCTAGATAAAATTTTATGGATTTGAAAAAGTTTAGAGAGCTTTATTTTAAAATCATTTTGAGGTGTTTTTGTGAGGAACTTAAGGTGTTCATCCAACAAACTTTCCTTGGGACTCCCCAATTAATGGTCTCTTTATCTTCAATCTCTAGATTATGTTATTTTGTATATTGTATAATCTAATAGGGAGATTGTGTTGTATTTGCTGATTGCGTTTGTTCACCGCTAAAGTTCAAAAGAATTTTAAATAGGTAACTTACATAATCTTGTTATGCCAAGTCATGGAGGACTTGATGAAGCTTTAGATTGCAAAGCTTGGGCTAATATGATCTTGCCAAAGCAAGAAGCGAGTATTGTTGTCTTTGAACAAAGACAATTGTGATGCCTCTCAAGTAGCGCAAGAAGTGAAGTTTGACTTGTGAGCGCAAGTCATTAGTGCAAACCTAACACGGATGGGGATAAAGTGTGCACGTAGGATGATTTGATGTCAAACAACATAAAAATTATTATGTCCATGTTCTTTACCTAGATTTACATTTATTGTCCATTTACTTGTTTAATTTGTTGTCACATGTCTATGTAGTAATTAATGTGCTAAGTGCTTCAAATGCTTTAGTTGCTAAGCAAACTTCTTTAATTGAGCTTAAGTGTTAAATTTCTGACCCATGCATTGTATCTCATTCTATCACCACATCTATTTGTTGTGTGGACAGGTGTGACTTGGGTGTTTGGCAATCTAACTGAATTGTGTATTTGAGCATATCATTTGCAATATGCATACAAGTTGTAATGCTCACTCGTTCATTCATATACGTATACAAGTTAGATCACTAATGTGATTTATTTAGTAAGTTGAGTTTGTCAATCATTAAAGCTTGTGCTAACCAAGTGAGTCAATTATTCTAGTACTTGTCCCATAACATATATGATCCAATACATTTGTGCGTGTTTGATTGTATGCTTGATTAATTATTTATTTACTTCTACATGTTTCATTGTGAGGATTTTGAACTGATAAAATTTTGGAAGAAAATTCTCGATGAGTCTATAATCCTCATTTATCAGCTGTCCAAAAGGCCAATTCATGGATAAATCACACAAACATGCAATGAAGAAATCTACTACAGGAAATTATGGATATTGTATTAATGCTATTCATAGATTCATGCAATTTATGAGAAGGGCAAGGTGGGGATCACAAGGCATCCATACCTAAATAATTATAAAAAAAACAAAATCATGCGATCAATTTTCAGCTACTCTAAGCCAGTTGATGAATATTCAGTCTAGCAGTTACCTCCCTTTGGCGGAGAGCTGCCTCCTTCCTGCAAAAGCATTACATTAGTGGCAATGTTTGGGACATCAGAAATCGTAATGCTTGAAATTAATCTAGAGAGCAACCTGCTAAGTAGCCGGGCTTCCAAAGATACCCCTTCTCCAAGAGAAGCAACCTGCAAGTAAAACTCATAAGCAAAAACAAATAACCTTGACCTGATTTCATCTACATCGAAATTAATTTTATTGTAGTTCCAAATTGCTCAGTAAATTTGATTAAAATTGATCTGATTTTATTAGCATTAATTTGAATTGTTTTCTTTAATATGTTCAAATTTTGAGCCGATCCATTGTATAAATGAAAGACAGCTGAATTTTAAAGTGAAGTGAAAAGAAGGATTAGATGTTGTTGTTTATGAAAAAAATCATAAAGGTGTCCACTGCCCTCCACTAATAGCATGATGTCACATGAAATTAACCAGTCTACTCTTCCGGGTTATCTGACTAGTCCAGCAGAGATAACGAGTTTTTATATAAACTAATGAGCTATGCAACTCTATTTTTGCATTTAGTGACCGCAAAGCATTTGTCGAAGTTCCCTCCCACCAAACTGTCCCATGAAGGACTAACCCCTGCCACCTGACCACTCAAACTTGTCTCTGAGTAGTGTGAGAAAATGACCTCTATCGAGTTTTCATTCACCAATTATCAACAGTTAGGGAAGGATCCTCCAAGGAGGCTTCATGTACGTAGATCATTTGAAAAGCATCCTTTGCAATAGAGGGAAAAGAGGAATTGATGGATTTACCAAAATAAAAACAAATTACAAAAAATTAACAAAATAGTCTTAAATGAAAATACTCAAAGAATTTTCATTTTTAACAAAAAAAATCCTGAAAATTTATGGAAAGGTGATAGGAAATACTTGAGTTGGCAAGTAACCTTAATGGGAATACTTGAGTTCGCAAACAAACCTAACAATAATCGGTAAAATCAGCGAGAAAAATAGAAGAATTTGGGTGGAAGCAATCAAAATCAGTAGATAATTTTATAGAAATCAAAGCGAAGCAAGAACGAAACAAAAATACAATTGATTCTCAATTCGAGAGGAGAATCGTTCTCCCCCAATCTCTAGACGAAAAGCCTAGAGCCCAAGACACCAAAGAGAACTTCAAGAGAAACAACAATTATGCATATCCCTAACCCTAGATGACGACTCATATTTAATACAAAAACTTCCCTAATTTCAAATCCTGAATTCAAAATTTCCATCCCTCTCCTAGCCGCCCCTTATTTCTTTCCCTATTGGCATTGGCATGCCTAGTGGGCCCCTAGGTTTGGGCAGCTGATTTCCCCCCTAAGGGGGTCCGTCTCCTATATAAGGGCCAGTTGGGGTTGGACCGGTTCATCCTGAACCAGTCTAACAAAAGGCTAACCCCATCAATGCATAGTTATGATTTTTCAAGCCAAGAAACCCAGTATTTTCAAAACCATTGATTAAAATAATTATAAAATGTACTTAAAATGACGAATTCCCAAAAAACTTCACTTTAGTGGTGAACTTAATGAAATTGTAGAAGTATACTCCCCTCAACATGCTCACACAGTAACTAAATTTAAAGGTAAGATGCCAAGTAATTCTATAATTATTTTGAAATGACCACAATGTCCCTTTGGTTTAAGTATTTTCAAAATATTTTCTTAAATTTCTACATTATATTATAATATTATATATATATATATATATATATATATATATATATTATATATATATATTAATATATTATATATATTATTTTTTTTTTTTTTTTTTTTTTGAAGTACCTATTTGCGATTGGGCCAGAGCATGAAAACTTAAAATCAACACATATAGATTGGCAAATGATCATCAAATACATCTAAAGCACAAATTCAAATCAAAACTTTCTGGGATGTAAACCAGGGACATGAATAATTGATGGTAATTTTTCTAAATGACTCGACCATCATGGCTATATTTTCAAAACCACATTTCAAGTAACTTATCATACTATAAAGCGATTAAAAAACAAATGGCTCCATTACATGGTGCATTGATGGGCATGTCACATTCCAAGACCTTAATGAACCAATTCATAAGACTCATTAAATTTTTTAATGTTATATATATATATATATAAGAACAAAATGGTCCCATGACTCTTAATGAAATATCAAAATAGTCTCAAACTATTTAAAAGTCTCATTTTAGCCCTTGATTTTTTAAATAAAAGCCTAAATGATCCCACAGAAAGACTAATTTGAGCTCAATTTAAAGCGTCAAGGCACCAAATTGGTACTTTAATATACTCGGGGACTATTTTTGTCCTTAAGAAAAAAGTTAGGAGACCAATTTGGATATATATATATATATATATATATATAACCATAATTAATATACATGCTTTGGACCACTCACCTTAGAGATGATATTTTAAGATCAATTATTGGGCTTTCCTTCATCTAAGTTCATAAGTCCCACTAGTGGGCCCCTCCAACATTAGAGTGGAAAGGCACGTGCTTGGACAACTCAATTAAGCTAAGCTACCAGTTGAGTGGTAAGCCACAATCATTAATCAACTACATGAAAAAATATCAACATAAAATAGATTCAAACTAAAACACATATCGTCAGGCTAACATTTTTATAAAGTAAGGATGTAAGATCCATCTTCAGGCCTTCCTTTATTTGAGGTCACAAGCCTCCTTCATGGGCTTCCCAATGTTGGAGTGCTAGGATCCAAACTAGAGCTTCCCTTATGCACAAGATTACAAGTCTTGAACATATGAAATCTCTAATAAAGCTATAAGCCCCAACCCACAATTGAATCCAAGTAAAAAAATTAGCCTTATCCTAACTAAAACCAAAATACCTTTAGATCAAACTATAAAACCTTTAATTCCATAATAGCTTCGGATTGGGCCATAATATCATAAACTTCAAAACACACTCAGGCTGATTTGTAAGTATCATACTACATTTGGGAAGATTGCAAGTCCCAAACCAACTTTTGATGGGTCATAACCCTACAAACACATCCTCATTAAAGAGGAGAATGTTTACCTCAAGCTTAAGGCATCCTTCAAAGTGAACCAAACTTGAATTTAAACTCCTCACTCGAGGCAATATGTGGGTATGACAAAGTGCCCTCCAATCATCATAACAACAAGAGATAAACTCTTGAGGAGCACCATCGAGTCAAATGTCCAACATGGCTAGATTTCACGACAAGGTTGTTGCATAGCAATCAATCAATATCCACCCAAATGCTTTGGGTATTCCCCTCTCAAGGTGAACACAAATTCTTCCAAGATCATTGAATTGGTAATGTCACCATATCATGCCTTTGAGTCAAAGATAATCATATAAACAATGCAATTGATCATGTTTTGTGCCTTTGAACCTATATCGATATGAATTAGCCATATTAGGACAATAAGCATACACAGATCCAAAACTTACACCACTGAACCACCATTAGACATATCAGTATCCATAAGGCTTTTTTTATCCAAGTTTGAATCATAGAACTTCACCAAAAGAGGGTTGATGTCCTTTAATGTCGCCACACCGATCTACTCAAGATAGCTTAGAGGAGAAAACTCATAACAACTAATAAGAACACAGATGATATAACCCCAAAACCCCTAATATTGGTAAACTAAACCCGCTCAATTTAACTTGAATGATGTAATCACGATATCTTAATTTCACGACAAGGTTGTCGCACAACACTCAATCAATATCCACCCAAATGCTTTGGGATATTCCCCTCTCAAGGTGAATGCAAATTCTTCCAAATCATTGAATTGGTAATGTCATCATGTCATGCCTTTGAGTTAAAGATAATCATATAAACAATGCAATTGATCATGTTTTGTGCCTTTGAACCTATATCGATATGAATTAGCCATGTTAGGACAATAAACATACACAGATCCAAAACTTACACCACTGATGCAATCAAAAAAATATAGGGAGCTATATCTCTTGATCACAAAAAAGACGACAGACTTCTACCGAAGAAAATGACTAAAGACGAGAAGAGGGACGAACAAACTCTTACATTTCAATTTAAACTAAACAAAAGAAAACTTACAACAATACAAACGACTCTTGCAAACAAAATGACGACACCCTAAAGTTGTTTCACTTAGAGAAGAGGGATACAGGTGGAGTGGCACCTGCGGAGAGACGAAAGAGGTTAGAAGCCCGAGAAGAAAGGGTGGAAAGAGCCCGCAGGATTTCCGGAGGGGATGAGAAAGAATGGTGGAAAGAGACCGCAGGATTTCCAAAGCAAACCCGCAGGTTAAAGCTTCCGAAAATAATTTATCATTCCATTCACTTCAAACATTACAAATCCCCCATATATATAGGTATGAAAGGGAAGACCAAAAGACACTAACATTAAATTAACACAAGAACCTAAACATCACAACATTAACACATAATTACTTTGCACGAAAAAACACATCCCAACCCAAGAATCGAAGTGGTAGCCGCGGGCCAAGGAGACCGAGCGGAACCAAGGGGGGCACGGTCACGGGAGGGAGCACAGGCACGGGAAACCAGCAGCCGGCCGGAATCCAAGGGGGCAAAAGCAAATAAAACCATGGTGGAATTCAAGGAGCCACACATGGGAAGACTAAACAACTATCTTGGAATTCCAAAAGCCCTTTTTGGAAACCCAAGAGACAACTTTAAGACATTAAAAACTCTAATAAAAGTGCATTAAAATAAAGGATAAATATGAGCTAAAACTTAGCTAATAATGAGCTAACCCTTAGTTCAATAAATGAACTAAAGACCAGCTCATAAATGAGCTAAAATTTCAGCTCAATTTTGATTGAGCTAGTAGACTCAAGGGAAGCCAAAATTCATATTATTTTGGACATGAGTTGACCCCCCCTATGTCTACATCAACCACTGAACCACCATTAAACATATTAGTATCCATGAGGCGTTTTTTATCCAAGTTTGAATCATAGAACTTCACCGTAAGAGGGTTGATGTCCTTTAATGTATCGCCGCACCGATCTACTCAAGATAGCTGAGAGGAGGCAACTCATAACTACCAATAAGAACACATATGATATAACCTCATACCCCCTAATATTGGTAAACTAAACCCGCTCAATTTACCCGGGATGATAAAATCATGAGATTTTAATCAACTAGATCACTCATCCCAATTCATCCACACACCCCCCCCCCCCCCTCCAAAAATCATAAACCTAACTCCTAAACACCAATCCATAGCATGATTGATGTCCTAAATTTAGTGTTCTCGGCAATGTGTACAATCAATCTATAATAAAAAAATGGGATTTGCGCTAACGGAAAAACTAAATCCTCATAACTAAAATAAACCTCAACTAGTCCATTGATTGGTTGGCAGAAATCATTAGGACATTATCCTAATTTATCTTTTGAAAGTATCATCTCTCTGTGCATTCTAATACAAAGAGCATGCATCCCCTTCAGAAGCCCATAGACCTATATAAAACAAAAATGTGTATATAAACAATGATTTTTAAAAACTAAAAAAATGTGAATATTAGGCCAAAATATAAGGCCTGTATACAACTGACCTTTAATTAGTTGTGCTAAGCAACAATAGTTATAGTCTTTCAACTTAAATATTTAATGATATGAATAGAAATCTTAAAAAGTTTAAGAACTAAAAGCTTTGTGCAAAAGCAATATGATTTGGATGGAAAATTAAGGAGCAAGACCAAGAAAGAGCAACATACTCTTTACCAAGACACAAAACATACAACAAAGGTACGGTAGGTGATAAGTTTATTGAGATTTTGGCTAATGCATAATCTTTTGATGCATTTAAACAAAATAGGAGGCATAAACTCTCCGGTTTAAGCTTCCAACATCTCATGTTTCATGCGGATAGATTCAAAGAGACTTTTGTAATAATACTATATTTGATACATGTCATAGTAAGCTTTGAAATTAACTTTATGTAACTATGACTTAACTACACGTCATAGTAAGCTTCCAACATCTCATGTTTCATGCGGATAGATTCAAAAAGACTTTTGTAATAATACTATATTTGATACACGTCATAGTAAGCTTTGAAATTAACTTTATGTAACTATGACTTAACTACACGTCATAGTAAGCTTCCAACATCTCATGTTTCATGCGGATATATTCAAAGAGACTTTTGTAATAATACTATATTTGATACACGTCATAGTAAGCTTTGAAATTAACTTTATGTAACTATGACTTAATTACCAATGCTGGTACCTATAACATTACACCAAAGTATACAATAATTCCAGAAATATCAGCATATCTAGGTTTAGGTGGGAAAAATGGGTAAACCCTCACAAACAGGAAACTGTATAAGTAGGTTTCAACACAGCACAAAGCCTCATGCTCAGGCTAAGGGCTCAATAAATAAGTTTCTTGTGACTGACTCATTTCTAGCAGTTATGCCTACAAGTAACTTGAAAATTATAACATCTTAATAAAACAATTGCTACAAGAAGGGACAGGAACCTGCTTCTCTAGCTCCCTAGTTCGTGCCTCAGCTTCCTCACGTTTTTCTTCTGCACGTCGCAACTGGAAAAAAATATCCTCATTATTGCTGAAGATCTCATCTAAAAGCAATTGTTATGCAATATACGTTGAGAACACACCTTTTCAAGCATAGTCTCATTCTCTTCCTGCAGCATATCAAGCTGCATGGCACACAAATGCCATTCAAAAGAATTTTTGTGAAGGTGTCCGTTAGTCCACTGGACATACGATGAACCTCAACAGAAGAATTAATTGAGCTGATGGGAGAGCACAATACCTCATCTTGAAGTGCAGAAGCCTGACGACTAATTCCATTTTCTTTAGGATTCAAATGCCCAATATCAACTGAAAATCTATAACAGGTGCAAGGGTCAATGAGCTATAACATGTGAAAATGCTACATTCCACATTTACAAAGAGATCTTAGTTAAAACGTAAAGAACATAGATTTACGAACTGCATTGTAAAGCTTGAAGCAATAAAATTACAAGAAAGTTGACTGCATTATGTCTCATGTCAAAAGGAAAAGCAGCGAGAAATTTTTCTTAAGTTGGAGAGGGAAAATGGACATCCCGAAAGAGATTGAATCTAGGTGGAAGGGAGAGTGTGTGGGTGTGTTCTCGGTGTGACTCTGCAGGGTTGGAGAGCAAGAGAGAAAACTTTGAAGAATTATCTTCCTCCACCTTCATAATAGCCTAGTTATACCTGGTAATGAAACTTAATTGATTCTGGCTCTAAAATAAAAATTCATATTAACAACATCACTCTGTCCTCACCTGCTTAATATGTTAGATGAAATGTTTTTAGCAGAAAATAAAATATTAATAATTCAAGTCAAACCTTCAAGGCTTCAAGGCAAGGTTAGGTTTCAAGATATTCACTCAATATAAAGGCATAGATTATTTTGATATGAATTTGTATAACATCTATTTGGGTATTATTATTCTTAGCATCAATCTGTCAATTTCATAATTATCAAATGGATGATAAAATAATTTTTTTTAAATGGTATCTTGAATGTATAAGTGTGTATATGAATCAAAATGAAAGATTTGTACTCAGGAAATGAAATTAAGGTTTGCAAGATGGCAAAATCACTCTATAGCCTTACACAAGCTTCTCTGAATGGAATGAATTTTTTTGTTAAGTAAATTTATCAAATGCTTTCATAACGAAGAATAATTCATAGCTCGTCTATGTGTTATGAAGCTAACTTGAAATATCTTTTCCTTTCCCTTTTAACCAGAAATATCATTGAAATCATGTTTGTCCTGCATTAATGGCCTCATTAATATATGCTGCATTAGTCATGCCAAAGTCTCAATATTCTAATTGAACTACTTGTCATACACAACCACAGCTAATTTAGTTAATTATAACAACAACATTCTGCATGTGCCTTTAAAGAAAAATTACGATAAAAATTTATTTAAAAGAAAGATATTAAAGAAAATTCAAAGCCATAGGCTATCAGGCAATGAAATTAAAGTGACGCCCTATCACCAAATGTTAATAAATAATAGCATTACCTTCTCTGTGCAGGCTTTTGAGCAGGTAGATCAATTGGTGGAATGGGAGATGGAGTCTTCACAGTTTTACTCGGGGGTATAAGTGTTGGGGGCACAAGAGGTGTCGAATAGGCCGAGACAGATGGCCTTGCAATGGATGCTGAACGAACAGCTGAACTGTGCTCCACAAAATTCCGACCAGACTAATATAAATGGAAAAAATTATGATTAGCCAAATACTAGTCATGTCACATGCAGCAGGAAAGGAGTAAATTAGAAGCAAACAAAACAATAGTGAAATTGTATGCTGCAAAGTTGTAGCTTGACACCTGACATAGAGTTTGTTTACGCAATTTGCTTATCCTCGGTTATCCTCTTTATATAGAAAATAATATGCATGACACAACGCAATGCCGACATAATTTTCACAATTAGATCTAGCCTAGAAAGAATCTATAATTATATTCCTAAAAGTCAAATACTTACAATTATGCAAAATAATTGCACATATTTACAACCATAATTAATGGAAAGTAAATTATTGCATATCATTAAAGTGCATCGAACTGACCTATATCCTAAAATTGATGTTGGTTTCAATAAGCACCAACTTGCCGGCAAAGAATTGATGTCGTTGACATGTCATGAACTTCATAAATATATTCACAATAGGAAGGTTTATAGAAATATGAGGAAGAATGGAAGATAAATAATGCAAGTGTCAAAGACTTTCAAAACTGAATGGCAATCAACTTCAATATGTTTTTGGTATGATCATGATAGCCATGATTGCCAAGAATTTGAATGGCAATAGTATTTTCAACATGGAGAGGAGTGAGATTATTCTAGGAAAAAGTAAGTTAAGGTAGAAGTCCATAACGTTAGATAATCTCTTAACAAGTGATATATAACTCAATATTCAAACTTAGTAGATGATGTAAACACAAAAGGCTGACTTTTACTCTTCAATGAGATCAAAGAGGTGCCAAGAAACTACACCATTCTATGATCGGCCATAAGTGTTAGGGCACCTGACCCAATCAACATTATTGTACCCCATAAGATGAAGAGAAGAAACTGTTAAAAAAAAAAACCACAACCCAAATCCCCATTCCCCAATAAGATATCAAATAATTTGTCGAACAATAGCTATATATAAATGACAAGGTGTACACATAAATTGACTAGCTTGTTGAATAACAAAAGAAACATCATGTCGAGTGATTATCAAATATTTACGCAGATTATTAATTGTCAAAATATGTTGGGATCAAGATGAGGATCAACTTTCTCACTACGATACTTTGTGTTTACTTCTAATAAAATATTTGAAAGGAAAATATTTTGGAGGTCAATAGTAAGATCATGTGTATACTTGTATTGGTTCAGAAAAATAGCATAGGTGTTGGTACGAACTTCCAAACCTAAGAAGTAAAGCACAAAGATTCTTCATATGAAAATTAGAATCAAATTTCTCCCAGTAATAATGATCCCATTGTCAATAATCAGGACATTTAGCAAAGAAATAATGAGTCATATTAGTTATATTATATATTAAATCTGACATATGTTAAGAAAAGTAGAGGCAACATAAGCTACCGATGTCTAAATGATAGCTAATACTTCAAATTTATTGTGGAGAAAATAAACACAAGTATACTTATTATAATTATCAATGAATGTCACAAAGTATTTATATTTTTCATGTGATATAATATAAGTAATACCCCATATATAACTATGAATCAAGTCAAAAAAAAAAATTCAGCATTACTACCATGTGTTAGAAAAGAAAGAAGCTTACTTTTTTTCGATTTTACATGTTGAGCAATCAAACATAAGATGAGAAGAGAATTGATCTTTATTGCCCAACAAATAAGAGTTCATTAAATTAGTTAAAATAATAAAATTCAAATGACTCGATCATTTGTGACATTGTTCATCATGTTGATTTATTGTAGTACAAGACAAGATGACCTCAAAAAAAGAAGGATGCAGGTGAAATAATAGTCCAACTTTAGGCCCATTTATGAGTACTTACATTGTCATTTGATCTTGCATAATGCAACAATCACAATTCATGAGAAAATTGAGTATCATAATTATTATCAATCAATTTTTCTACGTAAATAATATTAGTATAAAGCTTGTTAGATATGAAGATATCTTTTCGGGAAGAACTAATATCCCCAATAGCATCAATAATTGATTGTCACTAAAAAAGCTGACTAAATGATGATCCAATAAATAGTCGAAAATTGTAAAGAAGATGCACGAAATAAGAGATATGATTTGCTGCATCATAATCTACAAACTAAGATGAAAGAGGTAGGGCATTCGTACCTTGTATCTCTACGGCAATTGGGGCATTACTGATCATCTACTAAACAACTTTAGCAATAACATCTCACTCATCCACAATTGTTAAACCAATAGCAAGAAGAGAATCAACTGCTTGTTCAGCATTCAATTGTCAATCCAAAGGACGAGTATGAAATTTCTTACTAATGAACTCAAGCTTCTTACAATAATAGCATATTTTTTATGCAATACGAAATGTTCATAGCCCTTGCAACTGAAGCATTGTACATGTTGTACATCTTTTCATTTGCTTTTCCCATAGGTTGCATAAGTGATTGTATTCTTATGCATTTTCTGTTATTGGAAGATGGTTTTTGTGGCAAGATGTTTCTCTATGCAAAGCAATTCTCCAAAACTCACATCCAATAAAGGAGTAGGTTCATAGTTCATCAAGTTGGAACGAGTAACCTTAAATTCAAGACAAACTTAAATAAAAAAAATTAATCTTTGTTACTTCGTTTGAGAACATGTTAAACAACTAAGCGTGTTTCAGTAAGTAGTTCAGCATAAATCAAGTAATAAACTCAATCCATAAATTCTGAAATCAAAGGGTTGAGCAATCTCCTTACGTGTAACTAGCAGTCTCATATTCTAGCTAGAAATATATGGATGCATTCTTTTGATTATATATTTTTCATAAACACTACCACATATCTTTAGCTATCTTATATGGCTATAACTAGAGGATAATCACTTGATTAATGGATCCTATAATCCATGGAATGACCTACGTCTTTGATTTGTCAATGAGCCAATTTTGAAAATTCAGTAGAAGTGTGATCACATTTTTTTTGTGTATTCATATTTCTTTTCTTATGACAAATAACAGAAATTGAAATTCTTAGATAGAGTAATTTTTACATGAGAGGTATATACCCAAAATATCCAAATTGTTGCACTACATAGTTGACATGATTACTTCTAAGATTTTGCCTAACAAAGCCCAAGAAACAATTGTTGAGGGAGAAAATAAATTGGTGCTCAAACCAAGTCAAGATATATCAGAGGACTATTTAGTGAGACCCAAAAGAGGTTTTGGCAGTATAGAGAGAAGGAGCTTCCAAAAGAGATTATACTATTGGATTGGTGTTGAATGACACACTAAATTCTGTGCCTTCAAATGAGGAGAACGGCAAGCGATGCAAGCATGATGAGATAAAGGCTCACCAAAAGCATGGGAGAAGGGCTAAACTTGAGGGCTCTCCATACTTCCGTTGCAATGAGGGCTCAGAGAGAGTCTCTCAAACAAGATTTTAAGTGTGAAAAAGTAAGATGCAAAGAGGCAAATTATTGTGTGAAAGCTTGGAATCGAGATGAACAAGAGTAGACAAAACTTAGGAATCGAGGTGCATTAAGATGAAAACTTAAGCAGTTAAGTGAGGAGAATAAGAGGTGCTGAAACTAGCATTAAAGAAATTGCTTACACTCACCTAGAGAGTTCTAGACAATATATAAAAAATATACTTGTGTGATACAAAACAATGTTTAAGTAATTGTCACAATTAGATCTGGCCGGAGAAGGAAACTAAAATTATATTCTCAGAAGTCAGATATTTATAGTTATACAAATTAATTGTGCGTATTCACAGCCATGCTTGATATACAAATTAATTGTACATATTCAGAACCATGCTTGATAAGGGGTTAATTATGACCTATCCAATAAGGCATATCAAGCTGATATTAACCTTTGCCAGTAGAGCGGTACTAAAACTTTAAGGACAAAAGGAATCCTTAACTTCAGACTGATATCCATAACTGGTTAAAGCAACAGCAAGACATTGGACTCACACAGTGATCAATTTCCTACAGTATCTAGTTTACTCCGAATGTATCATTAACCTAGTAGACTACAAATGTATCTCTAAATAATCCAATGGCCTGGCAAAAGTCATCCTTTCTTTTCTCATTTTTATCCTCCGTATTTTTTTTCTCCTCGCCCTCGTTCTTAAACCTTCATAGGATAGAAGTACTTTCCATAAAAACTCCCGCATATTGGAAAATGTAGCTTAGAGCTTCTCAGCTCCTCCATGTACATATTTTAAAGGGGCGTTTTCTAAACCTTGTCTATTAGTCAGTCAAACTATGCATTAAAACAGACTTGCCATAAAACCAAATCAAATCACTCATTCCCTAACTTCAGTGAAAGAAACTGGAAAGGTAACTAATTTCATAGGGCTACTACTCCCTTTAAATTGATCCATTAACCCATGGCTGATCCACCAAGAAAAACACAAATGCAGAAAGCACGCAGAACGTGCATATCATCTATGACAAATAACCGAAGCGTTTTCATTAGTTTCAAAAGTCATTAAAAAAATCGCTATTCGCCTTAATCCTCATGACCTCTCTTCCCAAAAAGATCATCACGGAATATAATTTCTAAGTTAGAAACACTATATAAACAATTTCAAGAAATGTTAGAGTAGAAGAAACATTATCCAATTGCTGATAAAAGAAATTCCACGAAATGGCAGATGAATCAGATCATTTGTCATTCTTCCCGAAAAAAGTCAAATCCGAAAACTACGACCAGTAAGCAGTACAAGAATATCAAAAAATACCGCAGGCGAAGAAGATATGTTCGGAGTGTTCCCCCTCCCCAAAATTGTCCCGCCTGCACCGCCGCCGTTGCTTGTTCCAGTCGACCGATTGGCGATTCTGAGCCCTGTCGCGGCCGTGGCAGGGAGCTCGTCGTCCTCTTCACCGTCGCCATCATCGGCCGCACTCTGCGACGCCATTACCTGCGCAAGCCTCGCGGCCGCCGCCTTCGCCGCCACATTCTGCGTCCTCTTAACCGTCGACATTCCCCCAACGCCGGTAACCGTTAGCGACGACGAGCGGTGGTGCCCCGTCGACATCGCCGGCGACGACGAGCTCATGTTACTCGACCCCCCGCTTCTCTGTCGCGCATGCATCGGGCTTGATCCCCTTCTCCACTCCATTACCACTTCTCAGTTCTCCCCTGTTGTGGAAGCCAGAGAGAAGGCTGGGACGTCCGATGGAAATTGGACGGAAATGATTTGGACAATGGATGAAGTAAGGCAGGTGGAACGGAACGGAACGGGCGTTGAAGTCGGGAGGAAATTTATAGATCCGATGGACTGCTGACCGTGGGGATCAGGTTCCCAATGTACAAAGTACTACTAAAACAATAACAAGCATTTATCTAAGTGGATAAATGTCCCAAAAAAAAAAAAAACTAAGTGGATAAATTACATGAATCTTTTTTCTTGTTGATATTTTATTTAAATCTAATAAAAATATTATTTTTAATACTTTCTAACTTAGTCTTTTTAGGCCTACCTCTATCTTCCTTAACATAGGCCGAAACTAATACATTTACTCTACTAACAAGATATCGGCATTTGTAAAAAGTATTGGATAATTAATTTTCTTGCTGGCAAGATAGCTTAATTTTTAATTCTTTGCACTATCACCACCAAAAGTCTAACAATATAAATATACTAATAAAAGCAGCATAACTAAATTTCTGCATATCCCATAGGTATGAACATAATAAACAACTTGGATTTTAGGAAAAATTATTAGGTGCGAAGTGTGCACCGTCCGCACAAATATGATACCTAATGATACCCAGCGGTACTCAGCAGTACCGAGTGCCGGTACCTAGCGCGGAATAAAGCTTGTGCGGACGGAGAACCGTCCGCACTCCGCACCTAATAATCTATCGGATTTTAGACATCCTCTTGAAAGATAAAATTGTCAAATAGAGCAATCAAACACTAAGCTAAACATGGAAAAGCTCGTCAAGCCATGTAACTAACCAAAATGAAATGGATATGCATATTAAAATTTCAAACTCAAGTGTTCTTTACCTAATAATCACGAAAGCTTTATAACAAGAATATCTGATGGCCAGCTTCTCAATTTTTTTTTTCTTTTTGAAAAAAAAAAAAGCGAAATCCTTTTGCTTGTAATCAATACTTTCGCATCAGTAAAATCATAAAACAAAAACAGAACTAATTAACTTGATGTAACTAAAAAATAGAACTACTTACATTGATGTAATCATGTATAATCTAGTATCTCTACTGCATCTAAGAATTAAAAAAAAAATTGAATTAAACAAATATAAATAAACTTATCTGAATAAAAAAATACAAATATTTGCCTCTGAAATCAATTTCAACTAATAAGAAATACGTAGCCCCCATTTGAATTTTTTTTTTTTTTAATCTCTGATGATGAAACCAATCTTTGACATCATTCTTTACCTTCTAGCCACCAAAGGAGTATTTAATTCATTTTTTGTGATCGGGTTTAAGAGAACAGCAACAACAAAAAATTACAAAATCAATCAAGAAAGCTTAAAAGGCTAGCGAGGGAAATCACCAATAAATCCAATAAACCAATGGCAGCTAATAAATACTCCTAAGCTTTCACCTTTCGGCTGAATCAACAGGCAAGATGGATCATTAGGCCTCACCAAATGTAAAAACCAAAACTCAAATAGTGAAATCCTGCTGTTCCAGCAACAAATTAAACTAGCTCTAGAAAAAGTTCAAGAGAGTGAAGAATAGTGAACCTGCAGTACTTATGGAGGCAGAAAATATCATAGAAACATCTTCATGATGACTTGATGAGTTAGTTCACAAAAGCAAACAAAGTATTGCCATGAGGATCCTTTATTCACGTTGCTTCAGTAATACACTATTTCCTGGTCATCCACTTTCACCTGGTTGTCCAATTACTGAGTTTCCAACCACTTCGACGGCAAAGTCGAAATAATAAATTAGTATAACTTAATTTTCTTCAATTAAAAAAGCATCTACTTCTTTTGATGCAATAATAAATAGATTAATAGTTGCATTAAATTAAATAATAAAAACATGCAATTAGTTTACAAATGCAAATCCTATTAAAAAGCAGTTAAAGACATGACAGAAAAAATTTTATTTTATACTATTTTCTATGAGAAAAGTTTTCATTATTTTCCTTAACCATGAAACAAGAGGTAGAAAAATTCCCAATCAATTAACTATGAAATGAAAGATTTACTTACCAGTAAGTTTTTGAGAAAATATAAAGGAACTCTTGCTGATCTTGAAAGAAGCACCTAAAACATCAGGAAAGAATCTAATAGAGGTTCATCAAAATCTTTGACATCAACAAAAAGAAGAAATGTGAAATTTTATGGAATGAATAGTTGACGAAGGTGAAGAGGTTATAGCACAAAAATGGTCCAAAAGTGAGTACCAATTACGAAAAGGATTGATATGAATTATAAGAGTATAAAAAAAAAAAGAAAATAGAAACGATAAAGGAATTGTATTCATACATGCTTAAATTAACTTGTTAGAGAAATTAAGGAAATATTTATTTCTTTCTAAATCGTTTTAAGGAAAAACTTTTTTTTTCTTGTGAGGATTAGCAATGATATGAAGAGTATATTATCAATGAACAAGAAAGTATTTGTCTATATATTCTAAATAAAATCAGTTGTCAATAAAATAAACCAAAGTGTTCAAATTCGGGCATTCAACTGTTGTTTTGTGATGAGCAATCCTCATATTCATGTGGGATTATATCTACACACTGTAAGAATTCAAATAAAATACTATTGATGTTTCAATTCATGTTTAGACGTTGAGCAATTGGTATTCGACATGCAATAAGGAAGAGGAAATACAAGCTGTGCCAAATAATCTCACCTTCAGTGAGATTATTCTATACTAAAGAATATGTGTAAGTATTAAAGATTATATAAGAACTTATGTTATCTATATAAGACAACATGATAATACTAATAATTGATTATTAAATTTTAAAATACATTAATTCTCACATGTACTTAAATTATATCTATAGAAGCTTTCACCCAGGCCATTGCAAATTTTTTTTATTCGACATGCAATAAGGAACAGGAAAATACAAGCTGTGACAAATAATCATAAACACTATAGGCAATGAGAATAAAAAAAAAAGTTTGAGAAATAAAAATGATGTCTCCAATCCCATTATTTCTCCGCACTCAAGGTAAGTCGCATGTTGTTTCTGTAGGTTCTATGCATTTATTCTTACTTAACACAAATCATTGAAATTTGATCAGGAGAATTCCAATCTAACAGCCTGGGTGATTAGCTAGCACAGAGGCATTTCCTTCCTCTCAGCTCTTGCTGTGCATACTCTAAATGCATATCATAATTAAGCTACATGATAATGTTAAGTTCAAAACTTCAAATTTGTTTGAGAATCTCATGTAAATAAATATGTACATATGTATGGCTTATAAATATTTTTAAAAATATTTATCTGTAAATGTATATCAAATGAATTAATTTACTGATTATGATAATGTTTAATGAGCTAATTATTCTTTAGACTTGATAGTATCTATTATCTAAAGAATATTTGTTTGAAATCATAATTGATTGTAATCATTAATGAGATAGCTCATTGCCAAAAGAAGGCTAAGGCATGATTTTACATTTTTTTTTTAATTAATCTAGGAAATTTTCCAAAGATGGAAGGACGGTACTAACCTATTTAATTAACTTCAAGATGACAAGCTATTAAAATTGCAACTAATGCTCAAAAAGGTTGTGCAACTTTATATCTAAAAGCCATTAATATAATTAATACAATCAAAAACTAACACACTACCTACCATCCAAATAATAAGGACCAACCTATATTAATGTAAATCTAATGTCACTTAAGCATTAATTAAAGTTTTAGTGCATGTAATGAGTTTCCGGTCTTTGTTTATTGAAGTAAATTAAATAATCATGATGAGAATGGGAAAAGGTGCATACTACAAGCGTCTTCCTATCAGGTGTGCTATCTCTATAATGGAAACACAATCTTTCAACTCCTAGCATGTTAATGAATTTGAAGTTTCCTTCACTATAAATATTAAGAGAGTTGAGTTTTAGGATTTCAGTCAATTCTAAAGTAATCAAAGCCATAACAACAAACATAAGAATATGAGAAACAATGCAAATAGAATCCAGCCATATTGGTGGCTTCAAAGAAGCCAGCCTTCATTTTCTTTCCAAGAATCTTTTCATCAACTTTATACCACTTATATGAGTGCATTCTTACTTTTAGGGCCCCGAACAAAGAGTTAGAAAGATGAGTTAGAAAATGTTCTCTACTTGATTTACTTAACTGTAGATATTAGAAAATATAATCCAAACAAAGAGATGAAATCAACTTAACCAAAAAAAAAAACAGTTCTATGTTGGGAGACAAAACCAGACAAGAAAAAAATTATCCAAATAAAACATAGTAATTTTATTGCTGAACACAAAAGCAATATTACCTCAAAAGTAAATTTCAATAAAAAATAAAGTAGTATTCAAAATCCTTTACCAAACTTTGAAGCCCGAATAGTAGAGATTCTTTGAAGCCAAAAAGAGTAGAGATTCAGAAATGAAATGCAAAACACAAACGATCTAAAAGAAAAACATGTGAGAATAGTTTTACCAATTATATATAATGGAGAAAATGCCACAGTTAGGGTTTATTGTTTTGGTTGAACTGTCGTTTGTTGAAAGGTTTCGGACGGTAGATTTCATCTTCCAAAGAGTCAAAAATGTTAGAAGTTTGATAAGACCAGGTGATGAAACGTCTTAGAAGTTGAAAACACCAAAATAATTGTAGAAAAAAACAAATGCAGGTAAAAAGAAACGTTAAGTAAGTTACCGGAGAATTTGGAGAGACAACTTACTAGAGAATTTGGACAGACAAACCTACATAATAAGACGTTGAGCGGAGGAAGCTAGGCAAGCCGAAGATGGTGTGAATCCTCAACAAACGACGGCTCTCTGAAGCGTTCAGGATTTCAACTAAGGGAAAGGAAACATTAATAGGATATTAGGTAAACGAAACATTAACTCAGATTTACGTTAAATGAAACAGAGGGTTCAAAAAAATTAAAATTAATTTAGTAGGAGGTGTAAGGGGCATTAAATTGCAGAAGTATTATTTTCTTAATTTATTAATTATTTATAATATAATAAAAGGGCAAGATAATTTAAGAAAAAATAAAATAGATAGCCAATATATGATGTAGAAGGAAACTCAAGCCCCTTTAGAATAGTAGTGGCAGTATATATACATATATATATATATATATATTATACACATTTTGAAGCCTCAAAATGAGTTTAAAGATGAAGTCATAATACAAACAAGAATAGAAATGATATTCTATTTCACCTTTCAATTTAAGTAGACAAGCGTTTTCCTAAACGATAAGATATATTTTTTAATATTTCAAGTTTTCCTGAAATAAAAATTCTGATCAGTAGCTATTTAGAACCTTAAAACAGAATATAAGAATAGATAGAGCACAATATCAATATAAAAAGATATTTACAATGGTTCAGTAATTGCAAAATATAAATTATAAAAAATCAGATCGGTATGCAACTCCAATACTTCTGCTTGCTTTTCATAATCAGTTCAAAAATAGGTGAAAATAACTCAAAAAAGAAACATATGAAAATATAAGAGATCTGAGATTACTTGCTGAAACAAAATCACTGTTGGCACCAAAAAGACTGCAATGTATTTAGAGGGTTTTCTGATACAATTGGTGTAAGATCGCAGCAGCGTCACAGTAATGAATGTCTTCCCAGGCCCTGTATCATACTTTCCTTTTTAGCCTTAGCAAGTGCTTCGAGCTGGTAACTGCTCGGAGCCATTAGTCGACTCAGACGATAATAGAAATGAAGCATAGAATAGCAAAATAAGGCGATCGGACCTGCGTGAAAATCTTTCCAGTTCGAGAGGAGGCTCGTTCGCCTTCGGTAATAGGGCCTACAACATTTCCTGTCATCTCGCAGGTTCAAAAAGAGCAAATGTTGTCCGAAGGCCAATAAGTTCCTTTTAGCGACTCTTTAAAAAACCCCTCATGCGAAGCCGACAGGAGGAAAAGAAGGCAAAGGAGGAGGAGAAAGCGAAGGAGGAGGAGAAGGCGAGGCGTTGAGAAAGAGTGGAATGCGAAAGAAATAATCGCCGGTAAGAAGAAACATAAGTGAAGTTGCAAAAATTGAAGAGACCGAAATAATGGAGAAGAAACCTACCATCGGAGGAAGCTGGGCAAGCCGAAGAGCCAAAGAGGAGCAATTCGCAACATAGTGTTTAGCTTCGAAGGAATCCCAATCCGAATCGGGATCGATATCTGTGTAACGGTTAAGAATGTATTATATAGAATAAATATTAGTTTAAATTAAGAAACATATAATTACTTATTTGAGAGATTTGAGATGCATTATTAAATTTACGAAGAGGTAATATTAGTTTTAAATTAAGTAACATATAATTAAATGAAACGGACGGGAAACGTTCAGAAATTTCAAATTTATTAATTTGGAATGAGTTCTAGATAAAGAGCATTAAATTATATAAGTATTATTTTTTTAATTATTATTTATTTATAATATAATGAATGATCAAGATAATTTAAGAATAAATAAAATGAATGATCAAGATTTGCAATAGAAGGAAACTCAAGCTTTTTTTATAATAGTTGTATAGATAATATAGATTTAGATATAAATATAGATATAGATATGCTTCATAATATTCAAATTGGCATAATAAATAAGTTTATATTTTCTTGAAAAAAAATTATATTTTATTTCATTTGAAAATTATTGTATTTTATAGAAAATAAAATTCAAATGGTCCCTTAGAGTATTAAAACAATCAACAAATCAATAGACCATTCCTCTTCTCAACAAATTGAAATAAGTTTTGATCAAAGTTTGAATAGTTTACTTGAAAGGTTTGAACGATGCTCTGTCATGATTCAAATAAGATTTGATTAAGATTCAATCAAAATTTTATTGGTATGTGAAACTTTCTTGTAAGCTATTTAAACTGGCTAACAAAGTTGTGGGAAATTACTTAATGGGTCTTTTATCATTTTTTTTAATATAATTTTTTAATTGTGTCTCTTACCAAATTTGGAGGTATGAATATTATATTGGTGTAAGGGATTGCCTGATATTATTTTATAGATAGTGATGATTCGTTTATGTTTGACTTCTTTGCTGTTTAACAGTACATGTAAAATTTATGATCATCACTTTGTTGACTTCTTTTTATTTTTTCCTTGTACTTACTTACACTTCAAAACGAGTCATTATATTAATGCATCTCTAATGGGTTGGTCAAAATAATTCATGTACTCGTCTTTATCTCTAAGGAACCTTTCATTTTCTTTGAGGATTGCCGCCCATGTCCGGGTGTGGAAGTTCGACGGTAGTCGAGGAGGAGTCTCGTGGCAATGAGAGATTATTGTGTCCTGACACCGAACGTGTCCAGAGACCAATAAAAAAGCGTCACATCACTAGGCTCTCAGTACCGAGTTCAATACCTCACTCGGTAGCGGCAGCGGTACCGCTCGGTATCTCGATAGCGCTGTCCGGACATAATAATTTTTCGGTGGTAAGAGAGCTATCTTCCTTCTCTTCTTTTATTGTTTCATTACTTCATTCTCTTTTCTTCTTGTTTCGAGTCCCCTCTCATGAGAAATGAACGGTCTATTTTATAATTTTATGATAGTGGCATGACAAGTAAATAGGAGGACGATCAAAGATAAATTTGGGAGTGGTTTGAACGAACGCCCGATGTTGAATCCCTCGATCGTGGACCATTTACTAAGTATTTGAATGTCTAAACGATATCAGAATTTGACGATCTTAGGCTCATTGGATTCGTCTCATTAAGCTAGGGGTGTCAATTCGGGTCAGTGGGTCGGGTTCGGGTCGAACCCGGAACTGACCCGAACCCGGATTTTTCCGTTTCGGGTTCAAGTTGACCCGAACCCGGATTTTTTCGGGTCGGGTTCGGGTCGTGTTTCGGGGTCATGTCAAAAATTGACAGCTCAATGATTGAGCCACTTGATTCGATTAGAAGCATATCACGTTTGGAAACTGTTTGGTAATCCAAATTATGATTTGAACCTTCCAAATGCGCTTCGCGTCTTTGATTTAGATCCATTGGAGCTTGGATTGAGTCGAATTTGGTGTCATTGGTTCGTATTTTTGAGACGTTCAATTCTACTATAAGTTTGTTGAAATCGGAGTTCAGATGATCACAAATTTTATTTTTGAAGTTTCCAACTTAATTTTTGTCTCGAGATTCGTGCTCGATCAATATAATTTTTTGATGATATATCATTTATATACTTAATAATTAAACAAATAAAAAAATCATATAAAAAAGAGAGATAAAATATAAAAGATAAAATTTTAATAATGAAAATTTATAATTTTAAACATAGATATAAAATAAAAAAATAGGTACACATATTTATAATAAATGAAAGGAATAAAAAATGAAAAATTCAATTCAAATATATTTAAATTAAATTACATACAAAACTATTTTATCTTGACTTTTTCATATCTACCTGAATCAAGCAATTTTCCCATATAATAGCTGAAAATCAATAGATTTATTTTTACTTTTCAAGAACAATAAGTAAACCCACTCCTAACCGTTGGATTAAGGGTTTTGGAGGACTAATTGGTCATTTTTTCTTATATCTTACTTCAGGCTTACTAAAGACTTAGGGCCGGCTACTGGAAGAGAACCTCTCTCACTCTCACGTGAAACTGCTCTCCCTCTCTTCATTCATGACAGGAAGAAGAAAAAGCGTGTGGGTGGCGGCTCTTTCCCTCCATCTCATGAAACTGCTGGAGCTCTCTTGGTTTCTTCTCTCTAGCTCTCCCCTTCTAGCTTTCAAATCTACAGCAGTTTTTGGAGCAAGGAAACGAAGACAAACTGCATGGATCTCGCAGCTAAAGCGGTTTGGAGCAAGGAAATGAAGAAAAACTGCATGGATCTCGCGGCCATAGCTTTTTGGAGTAAGGAAATGAAGAAAAACTTGGTAGATCTCACTGCTATAGCACTCACGCAAGGAAAAAAATGAAGAGCTGCTGTATATGATTTCTCCATTCAAACCGAGAGCAAAAAAAAAAAAAGGCTGCTGTTAGATTTTTCCACAAGAAAGAGAGGGATTCTTCGTCTTCTTGTTTCTTCAAGCACGAGCATGCAAACGTGAGATCTCTTCTCCCGCTGCTTTACATTTTCTTTTTATCTGTTGAGTCATGGCATTGTAAGGCTTAGAGACAAGTGACCATGTCATCTAAAGCTATCAGAGTTTTGTTTGTTCATTTATTTTCATTCTTTTTTTCTATATTGACTAAATTTGATTAGCTTGATCCTGTTTATAAAAATTTAAAAAAAAAAAAACCTTTATCTAAATTAGTTTGCGATGTTATATATGAAATATGGAATGCTGTTGTTATGCATATCAAGTTCGACGAAGTAATATTTCCAATCGCTTGTTAGTGTCTGTCATGAAGCTCAAATCATTGATCTTATATCCTTCATTATTTAAGCACCGTCTACTAGGTGTTTGATGAAACGCCTCAACAAAATATGTTAAAATTTTATTTGTATTAGACATCTGTGTCAAAAAGGTAGGTGTTTAAAGCTTCGTCATGTGAGTTTGTATGGATTTATCAAAGTTCGTAGTTTCATAATGGTTATTATCTTGGCATATGAAATCTTATAAATATCCTATTTCACATAAACCATGTTTTGGGGATCTTAGCCCACACTTATATGTATGTTAATTTATAATTGAATATTCATCTTCCTGTAAACTTCTCTTTTTTTATTAAATTATAAATGATAATTAGATTTAGTTACTTTGTTTGGGGACTGAATTTGTGTTATGATGTGATTAATTTTCTAATGTTCTGACTATTGAGAGTGGATGATGAGTTAGCATAGAAAAATAGTATAAGCAAAATCTTGTCATCGTTTGTGATTAATTGCCTTAAAATCCCATTAGGCTTTCTACAAGAGGAAGTAAATAAACTAAGGCATATTCTTGTGAGAGAGTGATAGCATTTAGATGGAATTATATTCAGGTTTTGCATTAAATTAATCATATATGATGGTTAGAAATCTTATTTTTAATTTCAATATATTCAGGTTTTGCTAAGATAAAAGATAAAGAGTTTTTTATTTTCAAATATCTTATAAATATTAACAAAAATTATATTAGAGTGCTTATAAGAAACGTTGTGCATATAGTTGATACACAAATTTATAAACTTTGCTACAATTAATATAAAATAGAGTTGAATAAAACTAAGAAATTAAAAAAAAAAAAAAAACGCAAAACTTAAACTTACTCATAAAAATAAATAAATATGCCACCAAAACATCCACTAAAACCCTCCCAAATCAGCCTATACATGGAGAAGTCAAAACAAACTGCACAGGGATCAGCAAGGGGAAGAAACCAAGCAGCCAACAACAAGGAAACCAAAAAAATAGTAGGGAAAACAAGTATCCAGCAACTGGGAAACCAAGAAAACAGCAGGGAAACCGAGCAGCCACATGGGGAAACCAAACAACCATCATGGGAAGACAAAACAATTATATGGGAAGACCAAACAACCACATGGGGAAACCAAACAACAGCTGAGAATTCAAACAGTCAGCTGGGAAAACAAGTAGACAACAGGGAAAACAAGAAGACAACAGGAGGAAAACGAAAAGCCACAGGAGAAAAAGAGCTAGAAACATAAGTGGGAAAAAAAACATAGAATGGCTAGCCTTGACTGCATCATTCTATATTTGGGTGGTTGATTTAGGAAGGATTATATTAGGACAATTATGCATGATTATGTAATTATTTGTTTCTTTATTAAGACATTTTGTATAGATTTATAAATAGGAATAGTTTTATATAATAAAAGAAAGCCTTTACCCTCTCCAATTATGTGAATTTAACAAAGATGATTTGCATAATTAGATTTTAATAGTTTTTCATTTCCCAAATTCTTATACTGTTTCAATATTCTCTTATTGTAGGTTCTCGTACTTGCACATAGTTCTTCTTGAAATCATTCATTGATTTCAAGATTTTATGTGTGCATATAATAATTTGTACTCTGTGCTTGAGTCTTCTCCTTTGAGTTGTGGAGTTGTTCTCCAATGAAGTGCTCTACAATATAAAGCAATTTTCATTTGGTAGAAGTTTAAATTGATTTTAGCTGGGATTTTATTATGATTTGAGGATGTTCACATGGGTTCGGTTGTTGCTTCCTTTTTTAATCAATTTTAATTCATTTGTTGGCTTGAGAAGTTGAAGACTGCTTAGTTGTTTGAATGGAAATTTTCCCTTATTTGCTTGCGATGGATCATGGTTGTTTTTTCTTGTTAGATCATGTACATTGATTTTTACTTTTTAGTTGGTCTCTTGGTTCTATATAATATGCTATTGTCAGAACAATAGAACTTTCCTATAGGTCAACCACAACTGCGTTCCAAATCTATTATATTGTACCTCATTTTTTTCAAGTAGACTGTTAAAACTCCTTTAGGATGCTTACTAACACCGTTCATGGTGCAAGCTAATTAAAACCTCATCCTACCATGATCATTGGATTTACCACCATCATAGGATAGCATAAAAAACAAAAAAAATAGAAAATATAACAAATATAGTTCATAACAAAATTTAAGCAGAAAAATCTAAATGCATCAGTTCATCTTAATCTTGGATTAGCCTATGAGCATCTCTAGGTGATTTCTTTTATAGTTTTTGTTTTGGGGGAAGTGAAGCTCAATACAACTTTTTAATGATACAGGCAGCTTTATTTTCTTGTAACCAGTGCAAACTGGTTGTGCAAGTTCAATGTAATCGCTTAATTTTTCTTTTATCAATTCTCTTAGAAAATTTTGAATTGCGTCTCTCATACTAAACTTTGGAGATATTAATATTATATTGGCAGCACTCCATAATTGGAGAAATTATTCTGTGCGGAGTTCAGACGTTGTCCAGAGGCCAATAAAAATGCGCTACGTGACCCAAAAAGTGTACCGCGCTCGGTATTGAGCACGATACCGAGCGGTACCAAGCGTTTGTTCTGCTCAGTACCAAGAGGTATCGGATGGTTCTCCTATCCGGTGTCCGCACAGAATAATCTCTCCCATAATTGGGCTGTGTTTCCATAGATAGAGCATGCCATTTGTTTTTTTTTTAGAGCATGCCATTTGTTATTTACTTTTTTAACACAGCACATCATTTTTTTATATGATAAAAAGCGTTATACTGGAAAATGCGTAGCGTGCTTATAGAGACTATGCGTTGGTTGATTTATTGACATTTCACTTTACATTTTTTTTTTATTGGCATTTCCATTTCGCATTTAAGGTGAAATCCAATTATTCACATAAAGGGATTTCATTTGTTTTTTCTTTTCCCAAATTATTTTACAGTTGCAATTTCCCTTCATTGTTGCTTCTCATATTTGCACACAGCTCTTCTTGAATCCATCATGGATTTTGAGATTTTATGTGTGCGTAGAGTAATTTGTCCTCTCTGCTTGAGTCCTCTCCATTGATATGCGGAGTTGTTCTCCAATGAAGAGATCTACATCCCAGTGCTTACTTTTTCTTCAGTCGAAGTATATGTTGATTTCAGTTGGTAATCTATTGCGGCTTTAGTAAGTTTATATCATTTTTATGTATCATCGGGTTTTAAACAGATTAAAGTTTATTGGCTGAAATTAGGGGTGTCAATATTTGACACGACATGAAAACCCGACCGAATCCGACATGGAAATTTTGGGTTGGACCCGACGGGTTGCCAGGTCAACCCAGAAACTCATTTAGAATGAGTTGTCCGCGCTGCCCGAGGCTGCCCGCACCTGCCCCAGCTACTCGCCCAGCTGCCCGAGCCCTACCCGAGGTTGCCCGCGCCGCGCAGCTGCCTTCTTGTACCCGCGGATGCTTACGTGCCCGCGTCCACGCGCCTGTCTCCGCACCCGCGCTCCCGCGCTCCCGCCCGAGCTCCCGCATCCCGCCTGCACGCCCGTGTCGGGTCGTGTCAACCCGGCAACCCAATGGGTTGGGTTTGGGTTCGAGTTTCCGACATGTTTACCTACTCGGGTCGGGTTAGGGTCAACTCGATTGAACCCGGGTCAGTTCTGAGTTCGACCCGAACCTGACCCGAAACCCGATTTTGACACCCCTAGTTGAAACTGTAAGATATAGAGTCGAATGCTCTATTGTTTTAACAGAAAGTTCCCTCCTTGTTTTAGTTGAGATGATGAGGTTTTGTTTTTCTGTTAGTGTAAATTGGATTAGGATGTTTGCTCGTTGTTCATATTTGGTTATATAATTAGCTTGAGTTTGATAGTTTTTATAAGTTCATTCATTTAATTAGCCAAATACAAACAAGGTCTTTGTTAATTTAATTCAGTTTTGTTGCATGCCGGAATATTTGCAGTAGTAGAGAAATTTAAAGTTTAATGTTATAGCTTGGCATGAAGATCCAACACACACAAATAAGAGAGAAGTACGAGAATTGTAAGAAATAGTATTACTTTTACATGAAAAAATTTGGAAACGGAAAAACCCACTGGGCCTATTCCAATTAAAGTGATTCCACTATTATTTATTATCGATTATAAATTATGCCCTTCATTGAGGAAAGGTATGGATACACTATATAAAGAGCATATTACTTGGTTGAACTTGGAAGAACTTTTTAGTAGAAATATAATATAATAAGTGGTTGACAAAGTTTGAAGGACCGTTGTTAGATAACGATTGGTCGGAGCATCGTGTTGCAACAATGGGGATCAAGCGATGTTTTGACGTTAGCAGTTGAGCGACAATAGGCTGTGTTCTGACTATGATGGTCAAAAATGGCCTAACGGTGGCATCAGACGGTTGTTTGATGGTAGCGGTCCAACTTTTGGCTTGATGGAGGCTATCGATTATTGATTTAATGATGACGATTGAGCGATATTTTGGCGGTGGTGTTCGGGTTGTGCTTCTAGATCCTTAGACCCTTCAAGTTGTCCTGAATCTCTAGCCAAGGTTCAACTCCAAACTCCAAGTCCCCCCTTATGTAGAGAGTGCAGGCCTATTTATAATTTTTCGAGAGTGTCATACCCTATAAATATGGATGAAATCTAGAACATTCCTTTGAACGATTTATATTGACCTTTATCATAAAATATTCGTTCAACATTTAAGTGCTTTAATGATATCAGAATTAAGCTATCTTGGGCTCATTTAATTCATCTCGTAGAGATGCTCAATTTGACTACAAGCATATCAGTTTTGGAGATCATTTGGTCATCCATTAATATCTTGATGTATTCAACTACTAATCAGACCTTTGATTTGGGCTCATGTAGGCTCGGATTGGGTCACTTTTGGCATCGTTGGGTTCGTCTTGTTGAGACATTCAATTTATCTATAAGTTTGCTTAAATCAGAGTTTGGATGTTCCTAAATTTGTCTTTTAAAAAATATTTTTGTCCAATCAATGCAATTTTCGATGAATATCGAACTTGATATTAGTTTTATTATATTTGTATATAAATAAAAATATGCATATATAGTTTTATGTGCATATGTATAAATGTGTGCACATATATCTATCGATAGATGCTCATATTCATATATATATGACTTCATGTTTGTGAATTACTCATAGTGGGCTCAATAAGTTAACTAGGAATGAAACAACACTCGAGTTTGCTCAAGCCTTACCCTTATTGATGTTGTAACACACTTCAGCATTGAAGACCAATTTTTGGAGTGGATTGCTCGTACTTGCAATTTTATTTAGGCAGGGGAGAAATCACATGTGGCAATTGTCCACCCTCAAAATTAATTTATACTTATAAGGGGATAATTTTGAGATTTTACCCTCTTAAATTTTTTTTTAGTCTAATTTCTCTCCCATCACGGTCCAGTTCACATACACATCTGCTTAGCTGCCCCCTCTTGTTTACTCTCATTCAGGTCGTGCGCAGATGCGCTCACTATGGTGCTATGCCTACTACTTGCATGTCGCCATTGTTTCACCTGTTGCCTGCACACTGCGTCGATGCCACTTGCGAAGTCTTCTTGCGTAGGACGCGACGACTACGCTTTCTGCCTGTACGCTGCCACGTCTATTTGCCCACCTGCTAAAGAGAAGTTGGTTCCGCCCCTGATCTAGTTTATCTATTTTTCTATGACACTAGAATAGTTGGTACTTGGTAGATGGATATCTTTGTGCTGTTGTTTGTTGTAAGATTACTTAAATTCTCATTAAATTAAAGTGTCAAAAATATCAGTGCTGCCCTTGCAAATGAAGAAGTATGTTGGGTAGCCCTACTATTTTTATTTTTCTCTTAACAAAATAGTTTTATCTAGCCTTTCATTGCTCCATCTCTGTTTAAATTCGAATTTAGCAGTGTTTAAGTCTAATTTATTTAATTTTAGGCTTTGTTTGGATCAAAGGAAAATGGAGGAAATGAATAAGATGCCCAAAATTTACAAATACAATTGAATATACTGACCATTTCCTATTATCCAAACACATCAGGAGTATTAACATAAACTTTCAAAAACGCAGGAGTTAGGTGGTATTCATTATCATTAACTCCTCACATAAGTCACATTTGTGGGAGAAATTATTTTGTGCGGAGGCCGGACGTATAATGTAGTCCGGAGACCAATCAAAATGTGCCGCGTTAGTAATATCGAGCCGTGGTATCGAGTAGTATCGAGCCATGGTACTGAGTGAGGGGTGATGTGGCACATTCTGATTGGTCTTCAGACGGTGTTCGGCATCTGCACAAAATAATTTTTGACGAGATTTGTGGAGTTTAAAATCTAGCAAATCTAAAAACCTGCAGCTGACAAGATGAGACTATGGCTGAAGAACTGCATTCTGCGTACGCTTTGATGTATTTCCAACGATGAACTTTGGAACAAATTTATATAAAGCCAACTGTTTTATGACTTATATGTTCTTCCAGAAGATTTCATGAAAAATTATGTCGATGCACGACCAAAAGATTAATAAAATTTTCATTTCCCACATATTTCTGTGGTTTTTTTGCCCTCCGGATAGTATGAACTGCTGACATTTGTATTTTGTGCTGGATTTCTACATGTATTTTTTATTTATGATTATTGTTAACTCTGTTATTTCCTGAATTGATTTAAACCATAAGGAATGTAATTATTGTTCAAAATAATTACTCCATTACCCCTTGTACCTTACGATACCAATGTTAATTAAGGATTCTTTTGAGACAATTTTTTAATTGCTTTAGATTTTGTTGGGAACATTTTTCTTACTATTTTATAAAACAGATTTTTAATAGGAAATTTTGTTCTAAAAAGTTATTTTAAAAATAGTGTGAAAGACGTCTCAAAAGGAAGGCTTCAAAAGCATTAAGAAAGTTGACTCAAACAAAATGTAATAATTAAATTTATTCCATTACTTATGGTTTTTCAGCTCACTAATCAAAGGAAGAAATTTATCACCCTTGCAGGCTATACAAGAAGGCCATTACCGCACTCAAAAGTATTATGTGCGGTTATTGAACGGTGTCCAGAGATGAATGAGAACGTCATTTTTTTTATTACTATCGTGTACCGCTTGGTTTTGGGTGCTGTGGAGCATATTAATTCGTCTTTGAACCGTTTGGTGACCGCGCATAATAATTTCTCCTTTCATCTTGGGCTCCATCTACATCAAATTTGTACAAATAATTATAGTCTTGTAATTTTTTTTTTCAATTTTAAGTCGGGAGGATAAAAGAATTTATTTCGTTTTTAGGTCTCATAATAGTTTTTTAATAATTATCATATTTAAATATAGTTTTTTTTTTTTTTTTACAAAATTCTATAAAATGCAATGCTAAATTTATAAAAAAAAAAATATTTCAGATTTAACATCTAAATATTTATTTTATTGACATGTTATTTTAATATTTAAATCACAAAAAGAATATAAATGGAAATATATTTTATTCAAATATGTTAAAATTAATGATAATTTTGATGTGATTAAACATTATAATATTATATGAATATATAAATATATAAGAAATGTATAACAATTTGTGAAAATCCTACCTCTTGCTGGTTGTCTCTTCTGTTTTCTCAACAGCAGTGGCAAGGAGATACTGATGGCATAATGAGTGTTTCTCATAACTCTTCTTTGCTGTGCGCTTTTGATGACATTGTTTGAGACGGTTTTTCCTTACTGCTTCTTTAAATTTTAAATATTTATTAATCTAAATATTTTTATTTTTAAGTTATAATTTAATTTTAAAAAATAGAAAAAAAAATTAGTACAAAGAAAGCCTTATTTTATACTCTTTGTGAATTGGGTCTCTGGCTTTAAAAAAGTTGAACTGTTTGGGGCGCCTTTCAACATTGGAACCCTAATTGGTCACAGACTCACAGGCACAGTAAGGAATCTATGATTTGGTCTACGAAAAAAATTAAGTTAGAATGCATTTTTAATTGCATTTGGTTTTATTTAAGATCTTTGTAACTAGCTAGTAAATATTATTTTAATATTTATATTGCACTTTTTTTAAATATATTTTAATAATTTTTAAGATTCATTTTAGTAGTGGCTAATTTACTCCAAGACAACTGTTCATATATCGCTTTGGCAGATATATCGATGGTCAAAAGGGTAGGCGCCCTACGGGGTTTTCAGGAACAAATACCCTCGAAACAAATTTTGGATTATAAGGATATTTTTGGAATTCAAATTAATAAATAAAATGATAAATTATATTTAATATTTGTTGTGAGCAATTGTCTAAAGATCATATTATCTTAAAAACTTTTAGAGTGGCAACTTGCTTAAAAATTCTTGTAATATAAGACTAAAAAAATTAAATTTAGAGGAACAAATTACTTAAATAATTAATAACAAACATTTTTTTTTTATTTTTTTCAGGTTTTATAAGTTTTTTATAAATAGTATAAAAATTCATATACTAATCTATATATAATATATTAATATATATATAATTATTATATATATAATGTCTTCTCTTACAATTATTATATCTCTGTATTTTTATGAGAATTCATTGTGTTTAAAATTAAATTAATAGTACTTTTTAATTACACCAATAAAATGATTAAAAAAATTATTAATACATATTTTCTTTTAGTGTCGCTTAGATCTTAGACCTATGTAGCTAATAAGAAAGGTGTTGTATATCTCACTTGGAAAAAGGATGGTTTATACTTTGTACAGTCGCATTTACACAAAACATACAAGGAACTTTTGTCCTTTACATAATGTCTGGTCATTCGGGTCCTTTTTCTAACAAAATATCGTTAAAAAGAAGAATCTCTAATAACTAAATGTATAAAAAATCAATGCCAACTAACTAACGAATTGTTATTGACATTCAGAATTATTGACTGTGAAAGTAAGGATGAGTAATGCACATGGCATGGCCAACTCCCAATGGAGAAATTATTTTGTGAGGACACCGAATCGTCGAAAAAAGAATAAGAGCACATCACGTCACCCAATAGATAGCGGTTCATAATATTCGTACACATAAAAAATGACGTGGGGCGCTCTCATTCGTCTCTGAACTAGATTTAATGTTACGCACATACTAATATATATATATATATATATATATATATATATTATATATATATTATATATATATATATATATATATATATATAATAGTTATATATAATATATTTATTTATATAGTTTAAAAAGAAGTGTACTAAATTTTGGACCTTCTCTGGCATTCATTAAAATATGGGATGCATCCACTTTAAAGTGTCCAAAAGGTAAAATTTAGTACAAAAATTGGTAGGGTTTAATAAGATTTGTCCAAAATGTACTATGTAGATGTGTGAGGTCAAGTTCAACCCTAGCAATATCTATGTGTCCACATTACCACTCATATGACTTAGAAAAAAATTAATCTTAATAAGGGATCGAGTTAATTTATCATATTGTTCACACTATATCTTCGATGAAATTCACACTCATAAAAAAAATTTCATTAAAAAACAAATAATTTATCAATAATAAGATATCTCACTTATAATAAGCTTCTTCTTTAGTAAATAAAAATAAATTGGTTATATATATATATATTATATATATATATATATATATTATATATATATTATATATATATATATATAGTATATATAATATATAATGTTCAGAATGGATAATTGATCATCTCTGAAATGTGAAAAGGTTCTGCACCATAATTACTGAAAACAAAATCTTTCATGCCTGGGAAAAGGCATGCATGCAAATCTCTCTCATCATGCATGCAACATGACGGGTCCTTTTCAAAATTGGAACTCTAAAATATATCAGATATATAAATATTTTTTATTCAACAAATATAATATATATTTATATTTAGAAAACTTTTTATATATAAAAAAAAGTCATATTGTCTCCAATAACTATAAAGAAAAACTATAAAACTGAACATAGCTTTGATTCACACAGAAGCTCACTGTAATTGCTCCCTTCTTATTATGTGCGGACGCCGAACGTCGTCTAAAGATCAATCTGAATAAGCCACTTCAATACCGCGGCTCGGTCCCGCTCAGTAACATCTTCGATATTGCTAATGTGACTCATTCTTGTTAGTTTCAAGATGTAAAGCTGAATTTGGAATCCGTATAGAACAATTTCGCCCCCTACAGATATATTTTTGATTCATTATAGTTCTTTTGGATTCACATCAAGATTTTACTATAAAGTTTGGTTAAGTGTTGAGGAGATCAGAATGAGAAAAGGCGAGAGAGAAACATGGCCAATGAAATTTCTTTGTTTGATTGGAAATTACGAAGGATCTCATTGATGGCCCCTTACAAAAAGACAAGGAGCTAGTTAAATAAGGATTGTAGAGATTGTACGTAGGACTCTTAGTTATTGGCTGGGACTAAAGTCAATGACATATGATGAACTGAAAAAATAACAAGAAAAATATATATATAATTTTACTGTAGTTAGACTAGTAGGGGCAGTTTGTAAGTAGGATTTAGGCCGGATTTGAGCAAAATATAGCCAAACGGCCTAAAATGCAAAAGAAAATCTCATGGTAAATGAAAATCACGATTGACAGAAAATTCCGCCTTTTGGTGGTAAATCATGGATTTTTAAACGAAAACGTTGTTCGCCTCATCTCCTCACCCTCGCCTCTTCATGATAGTCAGACAATCACAAGATTTAATATAATTTATCATGAATGTTACCAAACAATCCCTGGTCGAGTAGGACTGTAGGATTCAAGCTGGTCTTGAGCAACTTTTAAGTTACTGCAAATCCTTCGAATAATAATAGTAGATGACCGATTAAGGCCCTTCGAGGCTTCCAAACATGCCAAGTTAAGCTGATTTAAAGATGGTGATCAGGTTTTTGAATCGAGTACTTAATGATTTTACTTGATCAATCCGACCTATATTTGCCTTACGTTGCCATAAAATATTACATAATAGATGTCACTCTCTTGCATGTCATTACACACATAATAATATCCTGTGCGTGACACTTAATGAAATATATGATATATGATATACTTGCACTTCCATTTACATCCTAGCTAGAGACTTCTACTATTCATTCATTCATCTAGAAGCCTTTTCTATCATTATCATGCAGCAAAATCTGATACTCATACCGCTCTCATTTGAATGCACGAAAAATTATTGTGTGCGGTGTTCGAACTCATTCAGAAGTCAATCTAAATGTGCCACGTACATCACCCAATATATAGTGCATTAATTGGATGAAGTGGCACGTTCGAATTGACCTCCGAATGTATTTCAACGCGGCACAGAATAAGCTCTCCATTTGCACAAAAGCGCCCACGCATTTATGTGAAAATTTTAAGATAATTAATTGACGGAGATAGAAATTAATGAGTGTACCAACTCGCCATGATGATATTGGAGAATCCGTATTTGGTAAGTGTGAAACACTGAGCTAATATGTTCTCGATACATCATTTTGGTTACAACTTATATTTCTTAGGTTGAAATTGATACGCCATTATTATGGCTGCCAATACGTCAGTTGATTAATTCCTGACTAAATATGTCAGTTGATTCCAGAAAATATCTAAAAAATAAATTAATCTTAATTTGAAATCTCCTACTATTCTCATCTTGATTCTACAATTGGTTAAAAAAAAAAAAATTCTCATCATATGTTAACTAATCATCAACATATGATGTCATTTTCCTATTAGATATTTTCTTCTATTATGCAAAACATCTTGTCTACACCACCATCATTTAACTTCTAACGTTTTCATTAATCATAATATGATGCTTGTCATTGAGGCTTCATTTGGGACGGCATTCTTATTGCTTCTTAAAGCAGCTTTTTAAAAATTTTATACAAAAAATCAAAAAGCTTTAAAAAGCAGTAAGAAAGTCATCCCAAACAAAACATTAGTATCATCTTATGTTCGTCAATTACCTTAATGGGCATGTTGCTCGTCTTCCTAAACATCAATCTATCGTTCAATCAGAAGAATCAATAAGATTAATCGTCCAACTTTCAAACTCAATATCAACTTTTGATTGATGTATACTAATATATTTTATGTGACACCTATTAACTATTGACATTTGATGTTTGTTATATCATTTGCTTTGGTGTCTTACTAATCATAATCACTCGACTTGATGATAATTTTCACATTTTACATCTTGTCGGTCAACTAGTTTTTTGCTTCTACAAAGAGAATTAAAGTAGACCATCCAACATCTCTTGATGATAATTTTCACATTTTAAAAGTAATCCTAATTCTATTACATTATTCTTTATCGTTTATGTCTATTATTTTATATTAACGTCTTAATTATCTAATTATAGGAAATAACGTTCTATATTTTTTATTCTTTATTTTTTGGGGGGCAGTTAGGGGTTCGAACGTGAGCCGTATGGGAGGAAACAGCAAGCTGCATGCGCGAGCTCCGTATATGCATTTATAAGTTTTTCATATTTTTTGCAATTTTTTATATCACAAGTTATAACATAAAGAAGAGTTGAACATTAAACTAAGACTTCATTCGGGAAAGTTTTCTTATTATTTTTTAAAATAATTTTTTAATTCAAAAACTTTTGTAATAAAAAACTGCTTCGAAAAAGTGATCCCAAACAAAGCATAAGTCATCATGCATGAAGACACATGACCTTGGCCTAAATTCCCCTATGAATACTATATGTGGCCAAATAGATAGAAAAAAATAATCCTAATTTACTGAAAACTTATGTAACAGCCTGTATTAACATATTAATATTTCTTCATTAACATGCTCTAATAATATTAACATAATGAGGCCAATTTTTGACCTAAAAAGGGAGCTTTTACCTATCAACACAACAAAATTATGCTTGATTATAAATTCAGCAGTGTACCGTTACTCTATTCTTTCTCCCAACGTTCCAGTCTGAGCCCCCAGTTTTTCTTTTTCATATATATATATATATAATGGCCCCCTCGTTAGTCTTCTGGTCCTATCCCTATAGGAGAGTAACTCAGTGCCGACATAGACTGAGCGATTTATAGAGCTCAAGTAAAAAAAGTATGAGAGATCTACAAAGGGTCTTATCCCAACTTTTTATATAAAGCAGGGACCGCAGGTCTGGTCAGTCCTGCAATCAAAGAGAAATTACAAGTCTGTTCTCTCTCTCTCTCTCTCTGCTCAGGAGGTCTTTAATAAGATTTGTAGTCTCTTTCCCGGACTTTATTTGAAGTAGACAGGCTTCTCCAACCATAACCAACACCTTCTTCCTCTCCCACTTCTCAACTGAAAAGATGACCAATAACTACTCGGTCTCCTTTGATCCCTTCCTCTACTATCAGGACTCAGCTGAGACGATCCCTGATTCCTCCTCCACTGTTCTTCAGCCTATGAGCAGAAGCAGTTCAATCAACAGTGCTAATTCTTCTCACTACATGGAGAGTAATAATCTATATAACTTCAAGGTAACATATAAATTTGTTTGAATCTATTCATATAAACAACCCTCACACTTTGATTCAATTGATGTTATTTGATTTGTTAGGTCACAAAGAACGGAAGGAATAGGAAGCAGAAGAAGGCAATTGACGAGAAGAAGATGAAGGAAGGGGAGGAGCCTCCTGTAGGTTATATACATGTTAGAGCAAGGAGAGGTCAAGCAACTGATAGTCATAGCCTTGCAGAGAGAGTAAATATTATTATTACAGCTTTAATGGAACTATTAGTTACTTCATTTCATCTTTGTTATGACTTGGTTTATATTTGGATATGATCAGGTTAGAAGGGAGAAGATTAGTGAGAGGATGAAGGTTCTTCAGGGACTTGTTCCTGGCTGTGAAAAGGTTCATCATCATAAATAATATGTAATCTATATATAAATAAATAATGTATACATTGACTTAATTAGCTGGCTTATGTACTGTGAAATGTTTATATTATCAGGTGGTAGGGAAAGCTTTGATGCTTGATGAGATCATCAACTATGTACAGTCCTTGCAGAACCAAATAGAGGTAAGTACTCTATCTAATTGAACAGTTTTCTTATTTAACAAAGGATTTTGAGTGGTACTGATATGTTATTTCTCTCTAATGGTGTTTTTTTTTTTTCTTTTTTGACCAAATTCTAGTTTCTGTCAATGAAGCTCGCTAGTGTGAATCCAATGCAGTTTGACTTTTCTGTTGACTATGATTGTCTTGTCAACCAAACAGAGGTGAGTATATGTAGACAAGACTAACTAACAGTAATGGAGATAATTGGTCTCACTTTTTTACTTCATAAAAATCTTATCTTGCCAAAAATAAATAATTTCATGAGCTAACTTTGGCTTCTTCAATGGCTTGTTACTGATTATGTAAATATGATAAAACAGACAATGCCATCCTCTTTACTCCATGCTAGCCTCACCCAAGCCACAAACCTTGATGAAGGCTCATCCAAAGCATATGAGACTATGATGAACCCTCCTCCATTGTTGTTGCAGTGCCAAGGTTCCATTCCCCTCTTTCAGGTATGAGAGAGAGAGAGAGTGAGAGAGAGAGAGAGAGAGAGAGAGAGCTTGACTTACCTAAGTTAACAATGAGCACATTGAGAATTCATATATGGATTTTACAGGAGAAGGATAGTTTTTTTATGCAAGTTGGTGATGAGAGACAAGAGCTGATTCTCAATAATATAGTTCTCAACAACATGTGCTTGTTTCAGCAGGGAAGCAAGGGAGAGGGCCCATATTAAACATAGAGGTATGTATCTAAATATAAAATATTATAACTTGTATATTTTGTTCCAATATGAATTTTTCTTGTATGTCTCTTTCCTCTATTAGCTTTACAAATTCAGCTTTTGCTTTGTACGTACAGATGAAGGTATGAGGGCATGGATAAGACTGTGACTGCAAGAAGAAGAAGAAGAAGCTGACAAGAAATCTAAGATTTTGCTTAATTTGTTTCAAGTATTTGTATAGAGAGATCAATATATTCCATGAAGAGAAGAGGAAGGGAGGAGGTTGTTATTGAAGGGAAATTGATAGAAGTCTGGTTGCTTTGGGGACTGAAGCTAGCTAGCTAGCTGGTAGTTACTTGCACTAAATTGTAGAGACTGTAATGTAGTTTGCTAGACGTGCATGAATATGATGAGTAATCAATAATATTCATTGTTTGTTGTTGCAACTTGCATCTCTGTTTCTTTGCACACTTCAAGATGCCAGAGAGAGAGAGAGAGAGAGAGAGAGAGAGAGAGAGAGAGTATGACTGTCTTGTTGCAGAATACGCTGACTTGACTATCCTCTATATATATAATAGAAGTGTGCATCACATTCTTTGAGACATAAATCTTATGAGGAAATACTCCTTATAAAACTATCATAAAGAATTCGTTATCATTGATATATCATAAAAAAATTATCTTGATCAAGCACGAATCTCAAGGAAAAAATTAAGTCAAAAAATTCTAAAATTAAATCTCAAACCACCGAACTCAGATTTTAGAAAACTTATAGCGGAATTGAATGCCTCGAAAAGACTAACCAAATGACACAAAATTTGACTCAATCCGAACCTAAATGAGTCCAAATCGAAGACCTAGAGTGCCTTCTGAAGGTTCAAATCATGAATTGGATGACCAAACGGTTTCCGAACATGACATGCTTATAGTCGAATCGAGCGACTCGACTAGACAAATCCAACGAGCATAAGATCGCCGAATTTTTTTACCATTAAGATATTCAAATGCCCAGTAAATGGTCCACGATCAATGTGATCAATATCGACCGTTCATTCAAAACACTCTCAACATACACTTAATCTCCCTCCTATTTATTTGTCATGTCACTCCCAAAAAATTATAAATATACCCTCATTCTTCATTGAGGGAGGAGGAAACTGGGGGGAAGCAAGGAAGATAATTAAGTATAGAAGGAAAATAGATAAATTAAAGTTTTCTTGCCACCAGAGTCCTCCTCGACTGTTGTCGGACCACCAACTGTCGCCAGACTTCGGCCAGACCACTAAATGATGACGGACTTCGGCTCGGCCACCAACTGACGTCGAATTTTTGCCCGACCACCAACTGACACAAGACTTCCACCCGACCACCAATTATCGTTGAACTTCCCCCCGACAATTGTCGTTCTGACCTCTATCGTCGACAACGATCTTTATGATCACTGTCGCCAACTGACTTTGGTTCTTTCAACCTCTGTCAACAGACAATAATCTTTCTAACCACTGTCGCCCGCCGACTATGATCATTCCTACCTTCGTCGCCAGAATACGATCTTTCCCAAACACATCTCATTTTTCTTTGCTTACTCCAATTTATAATAACTAATTTAATTTAAGATAAAATAATATTATATACTAAAAATTTAAAATCATGCATGATAATATCAGACATGACATGACTTTCCTCTTATATCTCCATACTACTTGGGTCAAATCAGAGAAAATTTTAAGTTGGCTTTGACCACCTTTCATACATTTTGATCTTATTTGATTCTTGGCTAAGGATAGCATACATGACTGCACATAATTAATTAAATTATCCACACACATGAAAATAATAATAATAATTAGTGTTCGGGTCGGCCAACATGAAGGGCCCGATGGGTAATGAGCTTGGCAGCGGGCCCGGGTCGGCCAACATGAAGGGCCCGATGGGTAATGAGCTTGGCAGCGGGCCCGGCCTACGTGCAGGCCAACTAGGAGCATCACAGCATGGGTTGGTGGGTTGGGTATTTTCAGGATCCTGTTGTTAATAGTATATAATGTCTTCATCCATGTTAATGGTAGGCAATGTGGAACCCACGATGGCCTTAGGCCCATTTACCCTATGATATGTTGGAGTATGATGACCCCCTCATTGTGATGCCCCTACCCCCTAATTATTTGTGTGATGATTTACTTCATAATTGATGTTAATTTTAAGCAAAGAAATGGCATCATTTACCTTATTTAATGAATGAAATCGTCATATATTATCAATTATTATATTGATTGTTATGTCTATATGCAGTGGTTCAATTTGTATTTATCGTGTTTACATATGTAAATTATGATCTTATATAATACTGACTGACTCATTTTGTCTATACAATAATCAATTTATGCTAAAAAGAACTCTATGTTTGTGTGTGTAAACAAATTATTTTTCAAAAATAACACCCCCCCCCCCCCCCCCCATCAATCTATAAAAAAAATCCCCATGGCCACAATCCA